CGATTTTGCGGAGGCTATTTTGGAAGGTCTCATTAGTTCGATACAGGAATGTCCATAACAAGCGAGAGATGACCTGAAGACAAAGGGGTTTAGTCATTCGATCCTTGACTTTAGTTTGTAAAGGCAATATCAACTGCAGCCATTGTGATCCAAAATTGTCTGGAGAGGATACACAAAGCAAAGTCGCAGTAAGAGGGAATGCGAAGTTCCAATGCCTCGGTTTCATAAACATTTGTGCAAGGCGAGGTCCGACAGCAGCGAGTACTTCCGCCCATTTTGGATGCATGAAATGGCTGTTGCTGGCCTTTGCGGCGATTGGAAGAAGAAGCATCTCTATCACTTGGCAGAAGGCTGTCTTGACTTTTTGACCGTGGGATTTCTGGAACAGGCGGCCAAGTGAGATGAGAAAATCGCAGGATTGCTCCCATGACTCTTCGGGGGAGATCTTGAGCTTTAGGTGCTTCATACCCCCCAAAACAAGTTCTACTTTTCCCTCGGCATCTCGACCGGAAGAGGAGGTTGGGCTTTTGACCACACGTTCTTGGAGAGAGCTGTCCAAGTCTTCAATGAACCTCCTGGTAACTCCACCAAAGTTAATGCCACTCATGTGTCCCAGCAACTGAGCAAAAAGGTTCCAATTGGCAAGTTTCAAAGGCGACACCATCAACTGCTCAGTATCGGCGATTTTTAGTTGTCCGAATATGATACTTTCCAGCTTATCCTCCATTTCGGCGGTGATAGACGGCAGGTTACTCTGACTGATGACTTCGAGGAGAACGCGACAAAGAATGTATATAGATACGGTCGATCGACGTTCAGCTTGTGCTACAAATTCTTGCCTTGCTGCGAGTGTTGGCGGACCATTTGGGAAAACAGAATCAGGACCTCCTTGGCCAGGCATCGCAGCTTGTACTGGCTCCGTATTTCTTCGAACAAGAGGTGCCCCCGCCGCGGCATTTCGAGATTGCTGAAGATGACTGCGAGCTTCGTTGGCAGCATCACTTTTACTTTTTCTCCAGAGCATCATCGAGTCTATCAGGGCTTTCGGTTTAGGGCTAGCGATATGGCCCAGAGCAACAATCAACTGATCGAACGCTGGGTCAACACCTGGTCCGCATATTTGTTCAACATTGGGTTCGGGATCAAACGGAACCGTGATGCATTCTGTCAACTTCTCCTCCGCCTGTGCAATAAACTATTTCAAGTTAGTTGTGGTACGCATTTACACACTAAAGTTTATACTGACTGAGGTGAACAAGACATGAAGCGCATATTCGCCAACCGTCTTTTGCTCATCCTTGTGACGTGAAGAGTGAGAGTGATGGGGGGTATGGTCGCGCCGAGATTTACTATGCATTCGTTCGAGCTTTCGTTGGGTCATGCCATATGGAGCATCAGAAGCATTAGGACGGTCCAAAGGTGCAACATTTCCGGAGAGAGATGTAGGTGGCCGAGAAGGATAACCGGCGTCGCCATCGATACGGGTGGTCACCGATTGCATGTCTGAGCGATCAAAGCCGACGCCAGCGGCTGCTATCATCTGCGGGCTGAGGGGACTGGAGCTGGTGCTGGCCAAGCTGCCATTTCTCGAGTGTTGAATGCCGTGGACAATCGAAGTTTGACGATGATGGCCGTATGCGGCGCTCTTCGGATCGATAATGCGCTCTACGACTCCGCCAAGAGGGCTCCTCGAATGAAGTCGTGGCGAGGTCAAGGGCGGGTGCGTCTGGGGGATCTTTTCGGCGGACGATTCTCGTGAGTGCGCAAATCGATGGGCGACCGGCGATTCTGAAGCTACAGGGCGTAATGTTCTATCCCACTTCTTCTCATCATCATCTTCTTCTTCCTCCTCCTCTTCGAGTCTAGGAACAGGCCGGGGAGAGAACCTGAGCGTATCCTGCAGGTGGTCCGGCAGCGGCTGCGACGGCACTATGGGTCACACAAGGGGGTTAGTGAACAAAAGATATATCTTTGCAGAATGTTTGAAGATGTTGGTGAAACGACAGCGGAGACGCCTAGAGCAGGGTCTGCATGTAAGCACCGCCAACTCTGCTTATTTTGCGGTTATAAATACTGAAGACCCCGCCAAGCTGAATTGTCTGGATGGTCTTGGGGAAAACTGATGACGAAGGTATTCCCGCGATACAGCCCAGATTTTAGAGGTGGTGCGGGAAGAGAGGGGTTGGTGTTGGTGTTGGTGTCAGGTACTGAACGTATTGGAGTGTGGACACCCTTTCTAGGGATTTGGACTTACCCATCCTCAAGTTCTATGTCGCAGTCCCATGATCTATGTTGATTCTTCAATCTCAATGTCAGTATCGCAACTGAGCAAAAACAAAAGCAGGGGAACACGAGAAAGGCGAAGGGTATTTACGGGTCTGAAGGGATGCAACTATGCATGTGCAGTACACGAGGGAGTCTTTTGACAACAAAGACAAAGACCCAAGAGACCGACTGACTTTGACGGCTGGACCACGCGCAATGACGCTACCGTCAGCTTGCCCATGTATTGGCCCGGCCCGCTGAATGGCTTGTCCGACAAGCCTTTGTAGAGGGCTGTTATGGAGCCAAAGGAACCCAGGGAGCTCTAACACATGGCACACATGGCAATCGATTCGTAGTGTTCTTTGGGCCATATCCTTGCTATCTGCAAGGGCCATGGCCTATCAACGGAACTAGGATCAACCGACATGGGATGACGGGCCCTTGGGAGACAGCGCGCCACTTCTTGCCTGTCAATTGGCTTCCGGGCTTCTTGGGAGGGGGCTTGGGTGATCCTCATGGCTCAGTGTTCGAAATGCTATCTGAGAGGCATCTATTCACAAGAATGACTCGGTGAAGCTTGAGGGATGAATACGCCCCACTGCCAAAGCTGGTGTATTATCAGAACATAAACAGGAGTACGCCTGCACTTGTTAGCAAGGATCAACGGACCCGGATGCTCATCAGCGTAGCACTTGTTTTCTCCGCTGATCATTGTGCCAGCTAGGGGAGGAAAGAAAACTCAGGGACTTAATCCTAAGCGACAAAAAGATTTAGGCAACTTTACATAAATTTAGGATATCCTTTGTTGAGTTTATCTTGACACCTCATATCAAGGTACGGTGTTTTCTTGCCCCCTGAGGGCCAGTATGAAATTGCTTAGAAGATAACCCTTGAGTTAGCACAATGGACCTGGGTATCTCCATGTCGTTCAATATCTCGCCATAAGCACCGCACACAACTTCATTATGCGAAGGGATGGTATAAGCAAGGTTTCCATGAGTCAGGGACATATAATATCTATGATATCTCCGCTTCATCCTAGCAGCTCGCTAGCAGAACACGTAGGGTCAAAGACTAGATACATTGAAGCACCACTCGAGTAGCTGAGACTAATTAGAACACATGCCATTTTATCATAAAGGTGACTAGAAACATATATTAAGCAATGCGACCTGCTTGGTAGACCTGGCCAAACCACAAGCATTGGTTTATAGAGCCTGCATAGAAATTTCGCAGGTATTCATGTGAGACAATCTTGTGTCATGGTTGTCGATGTCCCGCATTCCAATGGGTGATTGACATTGAGCAAGCAAATTGGTAATGGTACCTTAGGCTGTCTTGGCAGCAATGAATGTCAAAGAAAAAAAGGTAAATGCCACATAGGAAAACTCATAAAGAAGGTCCATGATTTCTATTGTTCTGATTCAAATACCTACCTGCACAGTCGTCTGCTGATAACAGCCACACTACATGGTGTGTTCAGCGGTTTGTCTCTGGACTGCACAGGTTTTCTTCAATTTGAGGGGTTGAGGCATGTGCACTCGGCACTTCAAAGGAGCCGCGGATCAAAACATCGGGATAGTTTCCGCAAAAGAATAGAGGGCGGAACTAAAGTCCAATGTTGTAAGGCGATTCGAAGATCTTGTGGTAAATTTTCTAGCTACATAAATATGAGGAGCAGAACTAACGAAGATAGTCGATGAGAGATGGCCACGCGGGACAAAAACGCGGGGATGGAGGCAAGAGAATGAAGAATGCTATTGCTCGATATGCCGAGGCCAGTTGAGTCGGCCGGGAGTCGATTACGGGAAGTGCAAGATTCCGTGCAAATGACGGCTTCATACCTATTGAGCGTGTTCGTTTTCGGAACCCCGCCGGCGCCGGCCGCAATATCTCCTGATTCGACCGCCGTCACTTACCGTTTGATCTTCCGGGCGCCGGCTGCGAGGTCGCTCCCTGGAAAGAGAGTGGAAAACACATATCAAGTTCCGAGTTTCCTTTCTACTTCATCATTCTGTTCCCTTCTAGCTTTTGAGGCGTCTGTGCGGTCTAAGTAATCCAGTCCACCACCCTCTTTCTTTTCTTGGCAAAGAATCACAAACTCGAAAGTGAATCGTTGGACACTTTCACCATCTCCAAAGCGACTCTGGCCTGAACCCCTGCAATCCCGCAATTGAGCCCCAACAACAAGAAGAACCCCGGCTTTAACGGTTCAATCCGAGCCAACAACCGAGCGAGGTAAAGACCACTGTGGCATTCCGTAGCTGTTCTGAGTAGCACACACCTTTACCCTTTTGAGGAGGTTTCGTTTCACCCTGCTACGGGTAGGTATAGTATTTCCATAATAGCTACGAGTTAACAAGAGTTGGGTTTTGGCTGCTGAGTAGATGGGTTTACGTGGCCAAAGTTCATGATTAGTGCTGATCCTTCACATCGGTAAGTGCGGTCCAGGAAATCTCACCTCGCACGATAAAGGATCCTCGGGTCATCCATTAATCTCCTACTTTAGCGCGAATTTGTTACTGACAGCGCATCCTTTCTTTCTAGACACTCCACGCCACATCCCACTTTCCTCCTCCTCCTCCCCCGCCTCCTTTCCGGCCGATGAGTATTGGGACAAAAACCTCGAAATCTCGTTGAAACTCGGCAGATCCTGATTTTGTCACTGGCATCGTTGTGTTTGCTGGCTCTCTACCTCTTGACCACGAATCCGCCCCAGCGCTTTCGTAGCCATCATGGCTGAACTCGACACTCTGGACATCGTCGTCCTCGGCGTTATCTTCCTCGGAACGGTTGCATACTTTACAAAGGGCAAGCTATGGGGTGTCACCAAGGATCCCTACGCGAATGGCTTCGCTGCCGGCGGCGCATCTAAGCCGGGTCGCACGAGGAACATCGTCGAGGCAATGGAAGAATCCGGCAAGAACTGTGTTGTCTTCTATGGTTCTCAGACCGGTACTGCTGAAGATTATGCTTCTCGCCTCGCCAAGGAGGGTAAGAGTCGATTCGGACTAAACACCATGATTGCCGATCTTGAGGACTACGATTTCGACAACCTGGATACCGTTCCCAGTGACAACATTGTCATGTTCGTTCTCGCAACTTATGGTGAAGGCGAGCCTACCGATAACGCGGTCGACTTCTATGAATTCATTACCGGCGAGGATGCCAGCTTCAATGAGGGCAATGATCCTCCGCTGGGCAACCTCAACTACGTTGCTTTCGGTCTTGGAAACAACACGTACGAGCACTACAACTCTATGGTCCGCAATGTTAACAAGGCTCTCGAGAAGCTTGGCGCTCACCGCATCGGTGAAGCTGGTGAGGGTGATGATGGTGCTGGTACCATGGAAGAGGACTTCTTGGCCTGGAAGGATCCCATGTGGGAAGCCCTCGCTAAGAAAATGGGACTGGAAGAGCGTGAAGCAGTCTACGAGCCTATTTTTGCCATTAACGAACGCGACGACCTGACTCCTGAAGCCAATGAAGTGTATCTCGGTGAGCCCAACAAGCTGCATCTCGAAGGCACCGCCAAGGGACCATTCAACTCTCACAACCCCTACATTGCCCCTATCGCTGAATCTTATGAGTTGTTCTCCGCCAAGGACAGAAACTGCCTCCACATGGAAATTGACATCAGCGGTTCTAACCTCAAGTACGAGACTGGAGACCATATTGCTATCTGGCCTACCAACCCTGGTGAGGAGGTCAACAAATTCCTGGATATTCTCGACCTCTCTGGAAAGCAGCACAGCGTTGTCACTGTCAAGGCTCTCGAGCCTACCGCCAAGGTTCCTTTTCCCAACCCTACAACCTACGATGCCATTTTGCGATACCACCTCGAGATCTGCGCTCCTGTTTCACGTCAGTTCGTCTCTACTCTCGCCGCATTCGCTCCCAACGATGATATCAAGGCTGAGATGAACCGCCTTGGCAGCGATAAGGATTATTTCCACGAGAAGACTGGCCCGCATTACTACAACATTGCCCGTTTCCTCGCCAGCGTCAGCAAGGGCGAGAAGTGGACCAAAATCCCGTTCTCTGCCTTCATCGAGGGTCTCACCAAGCTCCAGCCCCGTTACTACTCCATTTCCTCCTCGTCTCTGGTTCAGCCCAAGAAGATATCGATCACTGCCGTCGTTGAGTCCCAGCAGATTCCTGGCCGAGATGATCCTTTCCGTGGTGTTGCTACAAACTATCTTTTTGCCCTAAAGCAAAAGCAGAATGGCGACCCCAACCCTGCACCTTTTGGTCAGAGCTACGAGCTTACAGGCCCCCGCAATAAGTATGATGGCATCCACGTTCCTGTCCATGTTCGTCACTCCAACTTCAAGCTCCCCTCGGACCCCGGTAAGCCCATCATCATGATTGGTCCTGGTACTGGTGTCGCTCCCTTCCGCGGTTTCGTGCAGGAGCGTGCTAAGCAAGCCCGTGATGGTGTTGAGGTTGGAAAGACACTCTTGTTCTTTGGTTGCCGAAAGTCAACCGAGGATTTCATGTATCAAAAGGAGTGGCAGGTAAGACAATATAGAATTCAGTCGTTCGAGGCTTATACTGACTGTTTCTCAGGAATACAAGGAGGCTCTTGGCGATAAATTTGAAATGATCACCGCCTTTTCTCGAGAGGGCTCCAAGAAGGTTTATGTCCAGCACCGACTTAAGGAGCGATCTAAGGAGGTCAGCGACCTGCTCTCCCAGAAGGCTTATTTCTATGTCTGCGGTGATGCAGCCCACATGGCTCGTGAGGTCAATACCGTCTTGGCACAAATCATTGCCGAGGGACGTGGGGTGTCTGAGGCCAAGGGCGAGGAGATCGTGAAGAACATGAGATCAGCGAACCAATACCAGGTATGTAGTGACTTTGTTACTCTTCACTGCAAAGAAACTGCATATGCTAACTCAGAATCACAGGAGGATGTTTGGTCATAGAAAATGGGGCGAATGGCATACTAAATTTAAAGTCGAGTCATCGGCGGCGATGACTCTTCAGGTTTCATGGTTGGTGTTCAGCTCGACTGCGACTATGTTTGTGGTGTTGATATTTGACGAGATACAAAGTAGACTCGAGGATTTTCTTGCAGCAAACTAGAGGGATGGTGTTAGGATGGCTTGGTACATTGCGGTATATGGTTTGCGGCATCTACATTGTTGTCATCGTTTGTAATCTGTCCAAGAGAGCTTTGGTTATCTGCGTCGTCACAGCCTTTCTGCCACTTAGACATGGACTTGCCGACAGAAGCAAGTTTGTAGATCATCACCTCATGCTACCTTAGTAAGACGAACCAAGTTTAAGATGTAAGAAATTGACAAGTCATGTTCAAAATTCTGGGCCAGACTGAATATTTGGCCAGTGCTCCTGTTGAACGTACGATGATGAATGAAATAAATACAAGCATTCCAATTCATCGTTTGTATATGCAGTCATGTATATGCAAACCGTTCAGACATGGAGTAAGCCTACCCTACATCACGGTGTGGTTTTTCTCGCTGACACCACCAATCGAAGGGCTTGGGATTTTTTCTCCCTTGCATATTGCAATCGTAAAACTTTATCTCTTTCCGTCTACATGCACGAACGCTAGTCGAATAAAATCCAACAACCCGGTACTTGGAAATCAGTACTACGTTATGGCGTTGGAGGATGTCTTGAAGCGATGTCACAAGGGCCAAACCTGAGCATTTGAGCAACTCGAAGTGCTTTACCAGATGAACTATGGGTATGATGTGGTATTATCACAGCCGACGATATAAATTCAACAGGAATACGCTTTACATACCTACCCTCCAGGGGAAATATTAAAAAACCCCAAATGCACCGAAATTCGCTGGCGTTCCACCCATCGAGGGGTCTAAATCGCTTTCAGTCCCAACGAAAATGAGTTCATTTATTTATATTGCATTGCATACATACATGTTTGGAAATCCAAGATCTTTGGCTCGCTCATATGCAAAATTTCCCGAGGAATGTTATGAGTCTTTGTCAATCCAGGAGCTGCAGAATCTGGATCTCAAAATCGCCCGGCTGAAACTTGACTAAAAAGAAAGTCATCAAACACATGGACAGAAAATAACGTTACAAGACAAGCCGAGCGGTTGATGCAGGTGCAAACTGCACGAATACAAAAGAGCATATGAAAAGCAATATGTATTCTCACAGGTCAAACATACTAGACAAGCCAAGAGCTAGAAAGCTGACAATGAAGTACTACCAAGGATTGGAAAGCATCACGAACATGCAGCTTACAGAGACATGCATACTTAGGTGTTCATGGAATGGGATGGCGAACATGCACGCCTTGTCTGACAAGATCTTGCATAATCTTAACAAATCAGAGTGCGAGACATTGGGAAAATGACCACAGGAGAGTTCAATATTTGAGCTCAAACAAGCGACCAAGAAATGGTTGGTTTTGCTCGCATGGGAGATCTGTTTGTGCTATGAGCCATGCCGCGAAATACCTGCCTACCTAGAAGTATATGGAACATACTCTTATAGAGACACATCTTGTACACTCCCCAATACAAGTGTCTGCGTACTTCAGCTGGGGTCTAAGCCATCTCTCAGCATATACAAGAAAGGGCTTTAGATCCAGGGCACTTCAGCTATCTAGATACTGACCTTTGAACATATTTGACTCTTAGTAACAAGTATCATTCCTTCTGCGTGTTCATGACCTGGGCACATCTACGAAAGACTTACAGTATATTGCTTTGATTCAGACTGCTTCTCATCAGTCACCACAATAATCTTCCTATTCACTGTCATGTCACTGGCATTGACTTCCGTCTTTCCTGATCCTTGTCTTCATGGGTTTCAACATTACGTTTCCTTAATCACCAAACCGATGTTCTCGGTGCTGTTCATGCTGACATCTGGAAAGCCTCGGTCCTCGCACGAATATCAGCACCGCCCACTTACCCGTCGCTCTGGCCCGTATTTAACAACAGAACAATAGACAGACAACGTCACTATCATTGCAGATATTCTCAACCATACACACATAATTGTTCTGATCTTTACCCATAATAACCCTTTCCATTGCCTCGTCCTGAGGTACTTAATAGTGACAAGCTCGTTCTACAAACTTCCATGAGAGGTGCTTACCTAGGTCCTTCCAATATCATTGTCTGGAAGTGGCAGGCAGGACCTCGCTTCGCAGCTCTTGTCAGCTACAACAAATAATTCACCTTCCTAAGATAGGTTGACACTGTCAAAAATCCTGAGGCTGTCAGAGGGTCCGCATTGAATTTCTCTTCTTTGCTATTATTCTTATTATTCCTTCCCATTGTTCAAGATTCATCCAAATTATATTTCATCCGACCTTCTCACTCAACATCAACAGTGTTTTTGACAACATTTTTTGCGCGGACATAGGTCTTACTGATAGCATCATTCTTGCCTTTTTCCCAACTGCAAAAGGTCCTTCCTCTTTCATCAGTATACCTCTTTCCGACATCATCATTTTTGTGCACTGTTAGGTAGGTGCTTGCTTCATCCTTTCTCTTCCTCTGTTTCCCCTATATCTTCCCTCGTCTCTTCTCATCCTCTCTTTGTCTTCTTCATCTTCTTTTCACAGACCTCATTCAACGCTCCTCATACCTTCAATCTCTTCTGTACTCCATCTTGCACGCTATCGTGGCTAATTTACTTACTCTCGCTTCATCTCAGTCTTGGTACCCCAGAGTTCGTCATCATCGGCTTCTTTCAGCCTGCTTTGTCCATCAACTGCTTGATCATCATTCAAGCCCTCGAGGTATGTTTGCTGCAGATCTTTGCCCCAGTCACTCTGTTTTCACGCATTCATCCCCCAACCTTGTCACAGCAATACAGGACTGCCAGAATATCGTTCGTCAATATACTCAGTGTTGGATGTTCTGTTCGACCCCCTGGGAGCATCTGTTCTATCAAGTTACCATACCCTCTTGTCGTCACCCACGTATGCACTTCTCAACTGACATCTTGGATACAGCCAGATTTTCACACATCCACCGATTATTCGCATCTTGCACTGCTTTTTGCAGCCGATCTGTTGCTTGTGAGGTGAGATGCTTGCAGTTACCCCTCCGGATGTTCAATCTGATGTAGCAATATCCCTTTTCATCTTCAAGCTTAACCGAGTCCGAGCCTTCATCATTACCAAATGAATAATCGTCTGACATTTGCATAGATATCTCAGTCATACATCCTCATTCAATGGCGACCATGGAACCGACCACTGGTGTGGCACCTTTCCTCTCCAACCAGCCTGATAGGCGACCTCAGCATCTCGCTATCCCTGGCTCTACCGATCACAATGCTTTGTTGGGCCACTTTCAGGGGTTGAGCCTTACGGGCATGACTTTGTCTGCTCCCCAGGGCGCGCCTGTTCCCATGCCACCACCCTACATGGTTTCTCCCGATGGACTCATTCTTGCCTCCATGCCAGGTTCCCAGTCGGTTGCCCTTAACCACCCAAATGAATCGGCCTATCCTGGCTATCAGATGAATGGAGCCTATGCCAACCCATATGCTCTATCCGGCCCTCTCGTCCCCTTCACCCCCGCTCGCGCCAATGCTGGACATCCTCGAGGTGATCGAACTCAGTCCGAAGTTCCTGGTTTGGAGAACCGCCGCGGCTCCTACTCGACCACAGAGTCCGCACCTGCTACCCCCTTTTATGGGAGCTGGCCAAATCGTGAGCATGGTCCCAGAGTTCACAGCGATCGATCAGCGTACACAACTCCTTCTCCCCACCAACTCCTTGGCTCTCATCATGTCGAAACCACGACTAAGACAAAGCCTTCTCCAGCGTCTGATCACGTCCTGGATGAGATCTTGGCAAAGGAACCTGCCATTCCTACGGCGGTTCCTGCAGTTTTCACGCCTGCAGGTCAGATGAAGAGCCTTGAACAAAGCCTCGAAAATCGAATCCCCGGCAACCGCAATGTCTATATCCGTGGTCTTTACCCGACCACCGATGACCATACCCTGTATCAATTCACTTCCCGTTTCGGTGAAGTCGAGACTTCCAAGGCTATCATTGACACTGCAACCGGTGCGTGCAAAGGGTACGTTTCTTTACGCAAATCTTGGAACAAACAATGACTAACAAAGACAAGATTTGGCTTCGCAAAGTTCTTTGACGTTGCTCACTCCGAGATGTGTATTCGCGGATTCCATCGTCTTGGATACGAAGTCGGCTTTGCTAGGGCATGTTCCCCCAACCCATGGATGAGTGTTGAGAAGGGTAAACTGACACTTTTTTTTTTTCATGAGTCTTTCAACTCTCGTCTCAAGGCTGAGGGTGACGACGACTCTACCAACCTGTACATCTCGAACCTTCCAAAGTCTCTGACAGAAGTGGTACGTTTTGAAAACCATGGCTCAATATGTTCTACAGCCTCTAACTGCTGCTAGGAGCTCGGCGCCATTTTCGGGGATTATACGATCTTGTCCAGCAAGATCCTTCGTGATAGCATGGGGAACAGCCGTGGTGTTGGTTTTGCTCGGTAGGTGCTCAGGGCTAAGGATGAGTGTATGTGGCTAACAGAGGCACAGCTTCGAGAACCGAGATATTTGCGATGATGTCATCGAGAGGTTCCATGGTTCGAGTGTTGGCGATGAAGGACTTCTCATGAACATTCGCTACGCTGATACTCCAGCTCAGAAGGAATTGAAGCGAGTCACCGCTGAGCGTCGTCAGTTCCGAACGAACGAGTACAACATCGGAGCCTACGGCACTCCCCTCGTCGGCTATGGTGGCTCCATGTACCCTCACCATGCCCAGAACCGACGAGCAGCCATCCCCATCACCCGGCCGTAAGTTTTAATGCGTATTGTTTTCTCACAGAGGTTGACACTTTCCTAGTCCCGTGCCTCCGGCTCCCTCTGTATCCGATACCAACAATGAGACTCGACGCCTGGCTTCTCAGCGTCAATCCATTGGGTA